GCTAATTTTATGTATGTTTTGCTCCGGTGGTGGTTCATCTTCTTTAACGTAAACTGCTTTTAGACAGCCAATGGAATTAGCAATTTAATCCCATGATTATCAATATACCTGATGACAATCACCAACTGCTCGTGGTGGCCACAATCGCACGTCTCATCTGCAATGATTACCACTGGTTTTCCTCGCAAGGTTTTCACAATGTTCCGCGACACTACATTGTGCAACGACGTAATCATGTGAATACGGTTACTTGTGGCACCTTCCGCCAAGTGTTTTTCCAGCACAGGATTGTACCTAGCCACCAACTGGGTGGCACACTTTCCGCTCTTTCCACCTTTGCAAAGTATGCGCACAATATCGATGAAACGTTCCATTATATAGTGATTTTGTGGCCGCTTTGCCTCACTAGCAGTAATCATAGCTGTTTTGGTGGTCCAGTTCTTCGTCGATGCCCTTCCTGGTTTTGAAATTTTTCCACGCTTCCATACTACCAACATGGATATCACTGCGATTGTGTTTGCCCACCATATGCTATTGTAGTTACACTTTATTTACTACTACCGTTGCGAGTACGTTGAACTTGGTCAAATTGCAGTTCTATTTTTTTTTTAATTTTGACCTAAATGCCAAGGCTAGATAGGGTGGGTGAGCCAGTAGTGGAGGTACTAAGCCAATTTATTGATTAAACAAAAAATATACGATGTACACACAATTTTTATACGTCAATCTATAGCTTTCAACCTCTATTTTGATAGAAAAATATTACATTGTAATAAAATTGCATAACATTTTAGAAAGATCGTCCTCCATTAATAGGAACACTGTTCCAGTAGTTGTGGTAGTTGCTAACTTTGGTTCCTATAATAGTGGAATGCGTTGGTTTCTTATGGGTTCCACTATTATAGGAACACTACCGCAACTATAGCTGAAAAAGAGTGAAAATCTAAAGAAAAATTAATGATTTTCCGTAATTTTTGAGCTAATTTTAAGTTTGAAATATGCAAATATGCTTTATTTTAGGACAGCCGATGAAAAATAATCTCTCCGTGTCCTCCTCACTATTCCGGCACAACCTCCATACCGCAACTATAGGTACACCACTATTACTGGAACACCTACCCTAGGATCATTGAAAAGGTTTAAAAAATATGTAACGATTGGAACAAAAGCGCAAAAAACTATTTTGACAAGCGAGTACAGGATTGTTAACGGAATTACGACTTGTGCGAAGGATTGAGCATGTCAACCCTGTCCCAAATGACCGCCAGTCGGGGTGGCAGGAACTGATGCAGAACATTCAACATATTTAAGATGATATAAAGGACAATCCCGAATTTATTGCAATACACATAAACAGCTGTAACTTTTTACCCTGGTAACAAATATCTTGAAATTTTCAGAGAAGATTTTTAGACTAATTCTTAGTAAGAAAACAATAGACCAAGGTTCATTGGCAAACTAATACCCACTTTTCAATAAGGGAATCCAAACGCTGTCTTTAAATTTTTTACAGTTGCAAAAAAGTCCATCCTCAGAATTCCTTGAGGGTCTTTTCGAAATTTTTAGAACTCTATGAGCTCTATTAAAATTCTTCTCAGAAGTCCTCTGGAATTATTTTTAGGACTCTTTTTGACTATTACTCAGAACACCTTGGAACTAAAAATTCCCTTAGACTTTCAGAAGAATTTTCTCAGTTTTATCCAGAAATTTTCCCCGGAATGAGCTAGAAATTAACCTCGGAATTCGCTAGAAATTTTGCTTTAACACCTTTAGAATTTCACTGAAAATTTGATTTTTTCGGAATTCTTTTCGAAATTATCTTGAAACTATCTGCAGGATGCACTAGAAATTATCCGCAGAATTTTCTTTGAATCCTCCCCAGAAATATTTTGGAACTGTCCTAAAAATTCAATATCCTAGAGGTTCTTCTCGGATTTTTTTATAGAACTCTCCTAAGAGCTCTTTTGAAATTCATTTCAGAAGTCCACTGGAATTATACTTAACTCTTCGTTATTTTTTCTCAGAACACCTTGAAACTAAAATTCCTTTAGAATTGCAAAAAAAAATTCCCGCAATGAGCTAGAAATTATCCTCGGAATTCGCTTGAAATTTTACTTAAAATCCCTTTGGAATTTCACTAAAAATGGGAACTGTGGACAGAACTGTGCAATTTTTACATCAGGAATTTTCAAATTCAGCTTGCCCCTCTATGCAGCAGATTGTTGCAAATCTTACACCAGAAATTTTCAATACAAACTTTCCCCCAGGTAATTTTAGACCAGAAAATTTCAATTGACCAGAATGGTGTAAATTTTCCACCGTTAATCTATGTAGGGGAAATGGCTCTAATGTTAGCTAAGATCTAAGATTGGGCCCATCGCTAAAAATCTGCTATTTATCAATTGAATCTAGATGAACGCGTCATTGGGACGGTACTAATGAATATTTTTGGTTGCTATTGAAAATTTAGTCGATTACTGAATGTATTTATGGGCCCAAATTAGGGACACTTAGGCCGACATTACATACATTTCCCCTATAAAAAATGAATTTCTGTCTGTCTGTCTGTCTGTCTGTCTCTGACCCTTGACTACTGAACCGATCGGTGTGAATGTTCAATAAAAATTGCTTCTCCAATCTTCTGATTCGTGCAGATTTCCTTTTCATCATAAATTTTCAGTAGAGCAGCTTCCCTCCAATCATCAGAATGGTGCAAATTTTACACCAGAAATTATTATTAAAATTTGTTTCTGTATTCAGCAGAAGGATGCAAATTTAAGACCAAAAAACTTCCGAAAAGCTTACGTTCATCAAAACGGTGCAGATTTTCCACCAGAAATTTTCAATAAAGCTTAATTTTAAATAAAGCTTAATTTGAAATAAAGCTTGTACCTTCATTTACCAGACCAATGCAAGTTTTCCACCAGAAATTTTCTGTTCATTTCATTTATCAGAGCGATGCAAGTTTTTCAATAATTCTTGGTCCTCCATTCACCATAACGGTGCACCAAAAATTGTCAGTGAAGTTTGTTTCACCATGCACCTTTGTGGTGCAATTTTCTGGCTTTGCCGCTTCATGCACCAGAATAGTGCAGATTTTCCACCATAAATTTTCAATGAACCTTGCATTCATCTGAACGATGCAAATTATGCACCAGAAAAATTAATAAACCTTGCTTCTACATTCACACACAGTGTTGCGAACTTTCCACTAGAAATTTTCAGCTAAATGTGCACCTCCAAATGTTTAGCGTGATTAAATTTTTCCACCAGAGTTATTCATTTTGATTAGTACCTCCATGCACCACCTGGATGATATTTTCACACCAGAAATATTAAAAAAAAACTTTTTCTTCGATTTACCACCACGAAGGTGACTTTTTTCAACCTTAAATTTACCCTCTTCTTTCAACCCTGAAAAATTACACCAGATTTGTTTTTGTATACACCACTGTGGTGCAATTTTTGACCAAAATATTTAATTGAAGTTTGTCCCTTCATGCACCTTTGTGGTGCAATTTTCAGGTACAATCTCAAAGGAATTGACGCAATAAAAGGTTTTAATTGCCCTTTTATAATGAAATGAAGTTGTTTTACCTTCAAATCAAGTTATCCAGAAATCAAGTTATTTTATATTTTAATTTTGTAAATGTGAAAATAAAAATCTTATTTATAAAAGGGGGTACAATTGCCCCCCACCCTGTGCACGCCAGTGGTTTTGATGACTCAGCTGGGTTTGCAATTGCAATAAAACATACTTTGGCGAATCAAGTTGGAAAATGTGCCATATGTATGTACAGATCAACATTGAGACTAACTTCCTGTGGAAGAAATTTTAATTTTAGAGAAATTCAAGTTTATAGACTGTATGGCCAATTAGAGGAACCCTAGCGTCATCGCTGATACACTTCCTCTATGTAAACAGTTTTTATTAGAGTTCGCGGGCTCCGAGCTTTTGGTGGGAATCAACGGAGGAAGAACAAATCAATTTTATGCTTGAGAGAATTTTCAAGCATTTTTCCCTTTGGTTTGTAAAATAAAATCGATTATGTCCGCAGTAGCCCATAAAGAATCCAATATAACCATTTCATCAACTCATCCTTAGACAATCAAACATGTACACATCTTCTAACAAGAATTGATACCAATTAAAACACTGCTCACACCACCCACCATCCATTAAGCAGAGAACGACCACAACCATCTAAATCATCGTAAACATTGCACTCAACGCACCGGTGTGAAATATCATAACATGTCATCTTTCTCTCTCTCTCTCTATGATTCTTGACACCGATCGAGTCACTTCGACGACGACGACGACGACGACAGACGGAATTCGACCAATTAACATAACTGCATAACTGCTCGGTAACGGAACGCACATTTATTACATCTCTCATACAAGGTAGTTAAGTAGATCCCGGGTCAACGGTTCTTGGTCGGTCTGTATTCCAGATTTTCCACCGGGCAGAATGTCGTTCGATTTGCGGCTTCCTTTTAACGGTCTTGGCTCCGTAATTGACAGATAAATTATATTTTAACGATCAGCACGTTGGTTTACGATCCCGCAAATAAACGTCCTTTCCGTGGTGAAATTCAACCAAATTGAAATTTATCGATGCGGCGGGAAATGACTGGGCATTGTCATTTCGGAAATTCCTAACCATTTGAACTATGTGCATCGTTCACAAAAGACGATTTATTGAGATACAAGCTCAGCACCAACGCCTGTCAAATCGAACGATAATCCTCGATTTGTCCCAACCAACGCAATTTCACGCCACCCGTCCTCCGTTGCAGTAAAATTGCAACAGCAAGCAAACCCCTTTGCTTCGACCCGATCGACTCACGAAACTCAGTTGAGAGAGCGCGGGCATAAAACCCACGCGTAGGAAGATTAAACAAATCCGTTCGTTGTGCGGTAGTCATATTAAATAAACATTTATATTACTTACGGCTTCCATGGATTTATGACCGTTTTATTTTCCTATTTGTAGAGCGGTGAACGATTGTACATCAAAGTTGCAGATCTGCTGCCCAAGTTCACATTTCTCGGACCGAGTCTGGACGAAGCGTTGCACCTACAGCGGCAACATGAGGAACTGCTGCGACAGATTCAGGTTGGTTCTTCAATCGCTAGACTTGACCAAATTTGTGCATTCTTATCGAAAATTTCTTCCCATTGCAGAACCTACCAACTCCGCTGGAGGAGTTCTACCACAAAGTGCAGGAAAAGATCGCATCCCACGAGCGACCCGATCCGGTTCTGATCGAAGAAATGGCCGCCTCCCTGGGAGCCGTCTGGCAGGACATCAAAAAGATGCTCCAAGAACGACGGGACATCATCCTGCTAAATGTAACCTTCTTCGAACGTCTCGGTGAATGCTACGGAAAAATGAGCTCCCTCGAGGTGGCCTGCAATGACACAATGATCCCGATCGAAATCGATGCCGTTCGAGAGTTTTTGGAATCGTTCAAATTCCTCCGAACAGAAATGCTCTCGACCATTTCCGCTGGCCTGAAGGTAGGCAACCAAATGCTCGACAAACTCCGAGAACTGGCCAACATCGGAACGTTCGACTCCCGTCCAAATCACGTCAAACAAGACGCCCTCCAAGCAGTCGCCCAAGTGGAACGGTGGCTCGAAGACCTCTCCAATCGGAGGAACAATCTCGAACAAGCATGGCAATCACGAAAAACTCAACTGGAACAATGCCTCACCCTGGCGATCCTCGCCAAAGAACTCTCCGACATCGAGTACAGTCTCAACGCCACCAAGAATTCCAACTTCAGTTCCTTCACTCTAGGTGACTCTGCCAATCAGGCTCGTGACCTGCTTGAAATCTACCAAAACGTCAAACCGGAAGCTCTTCTCCTCCGAGACAAGTCCCTCAAAATCACCAAAACCACAGAAGAGCTCGTTTCGACCGGTTGCTTCGCAGGAGACGAAGCCTGCGCAAAAGCGTACAGCATCCTAGCCTGCTGTACCGAATTCGTCGACGAAGTTGACCACCGCGAAGCCCTTCTTTCCCAGTCCCGGGAATTCTTCGGTCGTGCCGAGAACCTCCTGACCAAACTGTCCCAAATCGAAATCGAACTCAGCAATCTTCAGCTACGACCGAGCTCACCCTCACCGCTTCTTCTGCAGAACAAAGCCCTGCAGGAGGTAACGGCCACCATCGAGGACATCCTCCAGATGGGCTACTCGCTGATCGACGACGTCGGACGAACGAAACCGGAGGTAGCCGGCGTGCAGGCCATGGTCGAACGGATAGAGCAGAAGAAAGCTTCCTTCGAGCGGTACTGTCTGCAATCGAGCGAGGAGAGTCTGCGACTGACGGAAGCGTTGAATGACTTCCTGGAGCGGTACAATCAGCTGTTCCAGTGGTTGGAGGACTCCCGCCGGGAGCGGATCGAACAGGCCGTCGACATTCACCGGATGGGGGAAAACCTGGCCGAGGCAAAGGATTGTTTGTTGCTGCATCATCAGCTCCTGAATGACCTGGAGGTGAGTGTTGTGCCATGGCTTCGTCATTTCATCACATATACATAGATTGTTAACCCACATAGTTTTTTTTTTTCAATCATTTCAAAGTTTATTGGTTATGAATTCATTAGCTTTGTTGATATAAGCTATTTGCAATATGAGCCACGTCAAACATTTTCGACGACCAAAAATACCAGGTTTGACTCTATCTTACCTTAACACCTTCTTCCTCCACTCTCTGTCCCTAGTATAGTTACTTATTGGAATTCCGTTCTCTTGGAATGTTCCTGTTAATTTCTCTTTCTTGAGCATTCCCGTAGTATGCTTGGAATTATCTAATTGAGATCCATTGAAATTCACCTCAGACTTTCCTAAGAACTGGTTTCTATATTCCCTGAGCATTCTAAAAAAAACCCAAAGAATGTCCCAGCAGTCCTTAGAATTCCCTTCCCGAGCAAAGTGCAGCTTCAAAATGATAGCAAATCGAAACAAAGCTTTGATATCCATATCAAACTGAAATGATAATTTGATTTCAGTTTACGCAATTGACAAATTCGATAACAATATTTGTTTTCATTTTGTTTTACATTTGCTTTTCAAAAATATGTTGTTGCAGTTTTGTTTTCATTGAGTTGAGTAGAACATCAAATGTAATGCTCGTTTTGTTATCAACATTTAAAATCAAATTGAGTTTTCAATTTGCTCTCACTGATAGCAGAGTTAGTTTTCAATGTGATGCCACAGCTATGATATAGCTCAATTTTGATATTTTAAGCGTTAAAACGACCAAAACGACAAGATCCTGAGTAATCATTATCAGCGACCAGGCATGGAAAATCATTTACATTCATTTCATGCATTCATTTACATTCATTTGCCTCTAACCTTTTCATTAACAGCAGTCCGCAAAATGATGTACAGAGCTTTTGTAGGTTTTGGTATTAGCTACAACTTTTGCCAGTAACTTAAATCTGTATCTCTTATGCATCACGAACTAGAGCGGGCAGAACTTGATACTGTTTTTTAGTGAATGTAAAATACATTCACTGAAAAACAGTAGTGGTTTCTGTTCGCTCTGGTTCGTCATGCATAAAAGATACGGATTTGAGTTGTTCACAAAAGTTGTAGCTAATAACAAAGCCTATAATAACTTCACACATCATTTTGCGTAATACTGTTGATGAAAAAAGTTAGGGACAAATGAATGTAAATGAAAGCACGAAATGAATGCAAATGATTTTCCATGCCTGTCAGCGACATTACAACATCCAATTTGGTTTTCAATTTGATCTCAGACTTTGCTCGGCAACTATGCGTTATTTCCGATTTCTTTTGAATTGATATCATAACCGTCCTGAAATTCTTGTCAGGATGCCTCTTAAAGCTTTTTTTTTTATAAAGGTGTCCAACAACTCTGAAAACCGATTTATTTTTGTTTTAATCAAAACTAACTGGGCGCAGCAATCTCGATCTACATGCTCTCAAAGTGATAAAATACTGCCTCATCCGAGAGATTAAACAAATGCTTGAATAAAAAATTGAACGGGTTCAAAAAAATATGTGTATCTTGCATATTACTTAAGACAACTTAATTCAAAGATTTATCTATATATATTTTAGACCTTTTAGCGTGTAAGACAATTTCAGAAATTAAACAGCAGCTTTTTAAAAGCTTTAACACCAGGAAAAAAAATCAAGGAAGTTCAGAGCTCTTTAGATCAATTTTAAAAACTTCAGTGATGTTCCAATAACTTTAGGAAAATCCAAAACTTCCAGAGATCTTTCAAATGCTTCAAGGAAGTTCTGAGAACTACAGGAAAGTCCAGAGCATTGGGGAAGTTTATAGATACTTACGGGTAAATTTTGAGAACATCAATACAGATCCACGAATTTCCAGAAAATTCCGTGAACTTAGATGACGATCAGAGAATTTCACGACAGCTCCATTAACATTAAGGAAATTTCAGTATTTTCACAAGAATTTAAAAACAAACTTACTTCACTTAAGGTCAAACATCTTTAGAAAAGCTCAGCGACCTCCCAAAAAGTTCTCAGAACTTCAGGGCAGTTCAATTAATGTCCGGAAATAATGTGGACACATGAGAGATTTTTTTTTTGGAAAATATTGAAAACTCCAGAAAAGCTTTAGGAACTTTACAAATGTTCCAAGAACACAGTCCAGAAAACTTTAACAAAGGTAAGAGTTCCATGACCATTAGAACAGAAAAACGAACCTATTAACGTTCCATTACCCTCTAAACAATTATGGGAAATTTCAATAAGTTATGAGAATTTCATGGCAATTCCAAGAATTTAAAGGACGTTCTGAAAACTTCAAGACCCGAGACCTTCAAGAACGTCCAGAACAACATGTTTTGGTAACTTCTTATAACTTTCCATAGTTTTCAGGAAAATTTCTAGAATTTCAGTGAACATCAATGAGTTTCAGGGCAGTTCCATTAACTTCAAGAACTTTACTGAACATTCGAAAACTTCAGCTGAGTTTAGAGATCCTAAAGGAAGTTGCATAACTTCGGCAGTTTTGAGAACTCAGTGATTGGAAAAGTTGTGGGAACTTCAGAGAAGTTCCGATTGCTTCAGGTAAATGTCACGTACATTAGGGCAGTTCCATTGAATTCTGAAAAATAGCGAGAACCTTCAAGAAGTTCTAAAAATTAGATATAGCTTTGAGAACATTAGGGAAGATTAGAAGACTAGGAACTTCATGAACTTTAAGAAAATCAAGAAAGCTTTAGAGCAGTCCAGAGAACATTAGGGTTATTGTTAAAACTTTAATTTCTATATCTTCTAACGAAGTTGATGATGATGGTCCCACCTCTTACCCCTACAAAGGTTTTGAACGGGACGATTTATCTTTAAGATAATTATATATGACATTTTAAGCAGGGTAGCAAACAAAATCGAACTGGTTTCAGTTACAGATATAAATTCCCTCTAGAGTTTACAGTTGCTTCACAGCGATATAAATGTGTAAAAGCTCAGGCGTCCACCTCTTAGCTCGCCTTTTTGTCCACCTAAAATTTTCAAAAGTATTACAAGCAAGCAAGAGTTAATGAACAATCAACAAAGCATCCTATTACACTAGTAACCCTGCAATCTGATGCTATCATAATTTTCAGCAATGTCAGGAATGCTCACGAACCCCCAACATTTGCCAGAAAACTTACTACTAACTCAAGGTATCTTCCAAATAAGCTTCAAATTTGCATTTTTTTTTTATCAAATGTTAAATTCAGTCCTCTATATCCGTATAAGCGCGCGAGGCTCAAACCTTTGTAGACTACTTTTTTTTAAATTAATCTACTATTAAATCAAATATTAAAAATCCACCATCACGTGGCGAACAGAAATAGTTTTTGCAGTGCTACAATAATTATTAAAAAAGTCGTTATGACAGCTATCCATATAAAATAATCCGTTAGAGATAACTTCGTCAAGATACATAATTTGTCAATTCATAAAAAAAAACCCGAATTTATCCACCTATGGTGTGATCAGACCCTTCTTACTTATTCAAGTTTATTTATTTTATTGTCATTATCAGTGACCAAGCCCCCCACCCCCGTGTCATCCAGTGACGCTACGCCACTGCCTGGGGGTACCCGGAATATATCCGGATGTAGTCTATTTGGTGAGGCTACCAATCACCTTATCATCGTATTTTAATGTGATTTAATGGGTTTTAATTCAATTCATATTCAAGCAACTTCCCCGGGGTACCCGGAACATGTCCAAGTGTGTCCAATGTGGTCTGGAACACTTAACACGACTTGCATTGATCTTATTTTTTAATTCTGTAGTAATTTGATGTGTCGCATGATGGTTTTGATACGTTTTCCGTTAAATCCAGCGTGAAGGTCCATATTCACCGGATCTTATTCCGGCCATATCTCCGGAACCGGTTCACCGATTCCAAAACCGTTTAATAGCGTTCAATGGGACCCCAAGACCTATCATTTGGCGCCGAGTTTGTCCAAATAGGTTGAGCGGTTGCTGAGAAACGTGAGCGCATTCATTTCGTTACATACACACACACATACACACATACACACATACACACACACACAGACATGTTCCGATCTCGTCGAGCTGAGTCGAATGGTATATGACACTCGGCCCTCCGGGCCTCGGATCGATAGTCGGTTTTTCAAGTGATATCTATACCCTTCTTTGTAAGAAGGGTAAAAATCACTGGATTCTTATTTCAGCCGCGTTTCTAGTATTGAAAGTCACTTCCTCTTTCAATTCGATCACACAAATATCGAGGCAGCAAACCGTTAAATACTTTAAATATGAACACCATAGTCAAATATACAATTCTTTGCTTCACCGACAACCATTGTAAGGCGTCTAACATCAAAGTCGAGGAAGTGAATCTATTACATCTCAAAATCAAACGCATTATTTTATTCTGCAAGCGCTGTAATCTCGATATTTGTGTTGCATTGGCCAGAAATAAAATGGAAGGGCAAAAGTCAAGATGAGGAGAGATGATTGATTTGTATAGCTGTATTTTACTGGCAATAGTTAAATCGTTTTTCAGTCGACATAGAATTCCATACTTCTTGGCAATTTTCTTGGTGACATTGTCAATGTGAGAGTTGAACTTAAGTGTGTCATCAATAATCACGCCAAGATATTTAATCTCCCGAACGCGATCAATAGTCTCATCATCAATTACAACAGAGACGTTCTCATTTACTCGATTCCGCGAAATTACCATAAATTTAGTTTTACTTGTATTCAATTTTAACTGCTTATACTTCAACCATCTACTTAGAGAACGCAAATCTTCATTCAAGTGTAAAACGGCATCATCTAAATCCTCAGCTGCAATGAATAACACAGTATCATATGCAAAAAGATTAATGTCGCAAAATCCTAAAACAAGTCGCAAGTCATTAATATACATAATAAATATCAGGGGCCCTGATACACTTCCCTGGGGCACTCCAAGGTTATTCGCGATGGGACTGGAAACAGAATTATTAAAAATAGTC